CACTCCCCTTGCTTGTGCGTGCCCGCATTCTCTCTTTCTCTGATAAAAAAAAAATAAATAAAAACTTAAAAAAGAAAAGAAAAGAAAAGAAATGGCCTTCCTCTCCTCTGAGCCTCCTGAACATCTAAACCATATTCTCTTCCACAACTAGTTTGGCTTCTTCCGGGGTTACAGTCCCAAGCCTGCCACCTTCTAACCGTGAGACCCTGTAACCATATTCTCCCTCAGCCTCAATGTCCTCCTCTATGAAGCCAGGGTAGAAATCGCCTTTGCCTACTAAATGAAGATCTAAATGTATTATGTTTATAAAAACCTTAGCACATGACTGGCATGTAGACAGGTCTCTGTGAGTTCTAGCTCTTCTGTTATACCCAACCCCACAGCTGAACCTTTCTTATGAAAGCCTTTATAGCCCCAAATGTTTGCCCACAGATCTCAAATTTTAGAAAATGTTTCCTCCCACCTCCAACCCTCCCAAATTATCTTTTAGATACCTCAAACAGGACTTACTTTCATCTGGCGGGTATGCTAGGGGCAGAGGCACTGAAAAGAGAAAAGGGTTGTCTATAAGTGGAGTTTACAGACTGCCTGGTCTGTCTCATATTTATGAGCCAACTTTCTTTAAATATTTACATTTTATTACTATTCGATTTGTTTCTTACAGTTGATCTGAAGTGTGAAATTGGGAGCCTGGAGCTTGCTAACACTTCCATGTTAGAAAAATGCACAGTGAAGGAATTTGAGTTCTGTGGGTTCCCCGCACTCCCACACCGAGGACAACAAAACCTTGTGAGGAAATCTTCGAGATGTCTGTGTCTGCCCACTGCCTCCTCCTGAGGCACTCCTGCTTAACAGGCCCCTAGTTCTAGCCCCTGGTACAAGCTAAGGGGCCTTTCAAAGCTGAAGAGCCAGAGACTCCCATTATGGACCAAGTGGACTTGATTCTAGCATAGGGATGTTGGAGGGAGGCTAGGTCAAACCCAGAGAGGGAGAGCTCAATTTTG